AGTGAAAATGCTTGAAAAATGTAATGTATTTCAATGGTGAGTGTTGTTCTTTTGAATTGTGCTTACAGATACTAATCCTTATAAAACGTGTAAACTGGATCACTCTATAAAGCTGAAAAAAAAATCTGTTGGTTTACTTTGTACTAGAGCTTTTTCCCCTCTTTTTTTGCCCCTCTTTTCCCCTCTTTTTTTTGCCCATTTTCTTTTAGCGATTTGACACGATCACCCATATCTTTTCTGTAATTAAATTTTCCTGTCCCCACCTAACTGACAGAAATCAGTATTAGGGAGGATGATACTGTACTTAAATGCAAGAAACTGTCAGGAATCATCCTGTGTGTGAAATATGACAATGTGTGTTGTACTTAAACTTCAGTCTAGTATACTTGAGTGAAGCTCCAGTGTTCAAAACTTTGTGCCAGTCCAAATTAACTTGTTATGTTTTAAGAGTAAAATGTTTGAAAATTGGAGTACCCATTTCTAATTGCCATTTATTTTAAATACTGTAACTATGTCATATTCAAGTTGTCCATTTTTTTAATTGCCATTTGCATTGCTTATCAGAATGCAGTGTTGATTTTTTGGTTGGTTGGTTTTGTTCTTTGTTTTTGGTGGCTACAAAACCCTTCATTATTTAATTAAATCTGGACTGCTGAAAGGGCTAACTTATGTCAAAGTCTGTACACAGAATATTTTACAATGCAGAAGTATTTACAAAGCTTTCTGAGCATTTGTTTTTGTACAACAAAAATAAATTTTGTGTTTGTAAAACAAACACTAATACAGTCTTCTTGACAAAATTGTTGTGAAACAATTATAAGAAATGTTAGTTTGGGTGTCCCATTCCCAACCTTCTCTTGCTGTCCAGAGTATTATTCAGCATTCCACGGACTCTGTGAACGTCTGCAGCAACTAAGATGGAGTCACTCCATCTTGTATGGGAATGTGACTTGTATTTCTCTGCATTATAAGGCTGATTTAGAGTACTTAAATTTAAATTGTTGATCGAATAAATAATGAGTGGGTTCAAACACTAATATTTTCTTTTTACCTCCCACATGCAGTCTTCTTAATCTTTGTTCTTTGAAGAACCAGGATCATTTATTGAAACTGACTGTTTCCAGTTTGGATTACAGCAGAGATGGATTAGCAAGAGTCATCCTTTCTAAAATCCTAACAGCAGCTACTGATGTAAGTTCAAATCAATATACATTCTGTGTTTGTTTTCAATTAGACATTTTTTTGGTTCAAGATGCATAATTTTATTTTGAAAGTATTATATATTCAGAAAGGTTTTTTTTATTTATTTAGAGACATGTAACTCCTACTCATGTAACTTTAGAGCTTGCTGTGGACGTCACCTCTTGTAGTGTCTTTGTGCTCAAGACATTAATTCATTTCAACAAGTTTATCCCATGTATGAGAGTAGTTAAAGTCTTAAAATGAATGCATGAAATGTAAATGCATACACCAAATGCAAACCAAGATAATGCTATTGTTCAGATCAGTGGATATTCTAAATCAGCAGTGAGGGCATTGTTTTCACAATAAGAAATGTGGATTTCTGACAGTATAACTTGTAGTGATAGATACTCCTTTGATAATGATGGAGATGGCTGTGCAGAACTTCGGAGATGCTATAGTTCCTAGAATGGCAGAGGGCTCTGAAGTAGATGCTGGGTTTGGTGCTTCCAAATCAAAGGTGGTAGGTGTGGATAATACACAAAGTATCAGGAAGGAAAGCTACTGAACCTTTAACAAAAGATAAATTATTCAGGTGTTACATGGTGAACAAGCAAGCATTGATGTCAGATAAATGAGAATTAAATAAGTTGCAATCTTAACTAGGAAAAGTAGTTTCCTAGTTAAGAGGGGAGAGCTATTCTGTCCACTGGACAAGGCAGAAATATATACTACAGTGAATGCAAGAGGGTAAAGAGTCTGAAAGTAATGGAGATAGTTGATGTTAAAGGAATGACTCATTGAAAGAAGAGGGTAAAAATCTCTATTGTCTACATTTTTAAGTAGTTTTTTAATGAAATCATGACTTTGGCATTCTTTCTCCATAGGTGCGTTATGCCTGGCCTGAGCAGGCAAGTAGAAAATAACAGGTTGCGAGGACACATGTCTGTGTCTTTATTAGACTTCAAAGCTTCTGTGAGATGATGGCCAATTAAGACCAGTTTAGACAGTGGAACTTCATTTAGCTGTTTCCACTGAGACTTTGTGTCAATAGATACCACCCCCCCCGCACACCCACCAGCAATTTTTCCTCTCATAAAAGAGGCTACACGAGGGGGAACAGCATGCCAGCATTTCACTTGCTTCCAACTAAAAATAACTGCAGGCATGTTGTAATAATTTCTTCAGAACCTAAATAATTTCTTCAGAACCTTCAGCTGTGTGCAGCTCAACGCTATGAGCAATGCATAGCGAACATTTCTTGTCTTTTGGATACAAATGGGATAGACTTTGCTCTTTAGCACCCTTGTAGAGCCCCCAGGTTTACCTGATTCCATTCCAGACAGTTGGGCATCCTGAGAAGGATCACAGATCGAATTTAATAGACCTCAGTGGTATTACCTCCAGCATTCAGTGCCAAATCTTAACAGATAAACGCCATCGAAAAAACTGAGACACATTCTACAGATTCAGGAGCTTAAGAACTCAAATTTTGCAGCTTAAATAATCATCTTTAAAGGAAGAGATGCTTCCTGCCAGACACCAATACCTTACCATGTCCCTGATGTTTTAAGGTCTCAATCTATGTTGCAGCTTCTGAGTTTCACTTTCCATTTTCTCGCATTGATAATATGGATCTAGCAATAGTGCCTGGAAGAAGATCAGAGATTATATAAATACATTATTTTTGACAGTGTTTTGAAAAACCAAAGATAGAAATAATTAAGATATATCTTCTCAAGCACTAACACTGGCTGATTCCCTAAGTGAAAGTGTAACCTGTCTTTTACATGCCCTGTTTTGGTTCAACAGTCCTCAGTATTGGCACAGGTTGCAAAGTCAAGGGATCTCTAGACAAATTCACGACTGAGATCTCTTGTGAATTAAATCTTACCAGCTAGACTTTGATATGGCATCTAGTTGCAGTGGATGAGATTGTACTCTGATTCTGTACTCTGCAGTACCATGAGAATCCTATCAATATCAAAAAAGAGATTTATGATAGTAAATTTAAGAAATATATATGTTTTTTAAAAGCTTTGTTTATCAAAAATGTCTATGAATCTTTTACTATCAGAATAGTGGAAAATAAGGAAAAGACACTGCTTGACTTCCTCTACGGTATCTCTTGAGTATGTTGTGGGGTGGATAAAACAGGCATTTTGCATCCTGAACCAGTTAGCCTGCTCGCGATTCTTAGCATTCATAAAGAAATATCTTGTATTTTTGATCTTAAAGAGGAAAGCACAAGTAGAATAGACTATGGAAGGAGTTGTATTAGTTTATAACAAAAAAAAAAAAAAAGAAAAAAAAAAGACCTAGCTTCTAAAAAAAGATAATTTCCCGTAAGGGTTCTTTCCATCAAAAATTCTAATTTCCTGATTTTTTTTTTCAGTTAAATATCTTATTATTAGTTCCAGTTCATTTGAAGAGCTGAAGTTGCTCGTATTTTAGGGTTAACCATGGTTATAGCCTCAAACACAGCTGCTCAGAGCTATAATTTAGGTTGTTCTCTGTTAATGAGAATCTCAGGATAATGAGAAAAGTCACTTCTCTAGTCACTGTAGCGCTA